TACTACTACTACTACTACTATTACTACTACTACTACTACTACTACTACTACTGTACTACTACTACTACTACTACAACTACTACTACTACTACTACTACTTCTACTACTACTACTACTACTACTACTATTACTACTCCTACTACTACTACTACTACTACACTACTACTACTACTACTACTACTACTACTACTACTACTACTACTACTACTACTACTACTACTACTACTACTACTACTACTACTACTACTACTACTACTACTACTACTACTACTACTACTACTACTACTACTACTACTACTACTACTACTACTACTACTACTACTACTACTACTACTACTACTACTACTACTACTACTACTACTACTACTACTACTACTGCTACTACTACTACTTCTACGACTACGACTACGACTACGACTACTACTGCTATTACCACTGCTATTACTACTGCTCCTACTACCACTACGACTCATTCCGCTTTTTCTTCTTCACATCTACTACACGCACTACTTGAAATTACTGACGGACGGACGGACGGACGCGCGAGACGCCCCCGTGGGGGGCGGGCCGACCTAGCGGCATGCGCGGCGAGGCCGTAGCCTCTCAGAGGAAAGCGTCGTTCTGGAGCGCTTTGTCAGGAGCCTGGAAAAGCGAGTCCTCGAGTATGTCTCAGCCCTGCTCTGAGCACGGTTTGCGACTTTCCCCACAGCAATGGCCTCCTCGGAACACTGCTTGCCGGAATTCTGGAGCATACATTCGGGGCAGCGCGTGCCTCACGCAATATGTCAACGTCAATGACCACGATGGAAACCACCGCCTCCACAAGTTCAAATACAGGACGGGCGAAATTCCGCATTTGTGGGGCAGCGTTTCCCACTTGCGCTCATGGCCCATTCGGCACTGCGCGCAGCTCAAGCAAAACTTACCCTAGCAAAGCACCCCGATAGCAGCAAAGGTGACATGAGAGACCCGTGGGACCTGCAGGACATGTGGGAGCATCGAGGCCTGCTAGACCTGTTGGAGCTGTGAGACCTGTGGGACGTACATGCGGGACATGCGGGACCTGTGGGAACTGCGGGACCTGCGGGACTTGCGAGACCCGCGAGCCCTCTGGGGCCTGTAGCACCTCTGGGACTTGTGGGAACTCCGGGGCCAACGAGACCTGTTGGAGCTGTGGGACCTGTGGGACCTCGACTTGTGGGACCTGACGGACCACAGAGACCTGCGAGCCCAGTGGGATGTGTGGGATCTGTAGGAAATGCAGGACCTGTGGGGCCTGTGGGACCTGAGAAACCTATGAGACCTGTGGGGCCTGTGGGGCTGGCTATGCGACCTGCAAGACTTGCGAGAGCCGTGGGACTTGTGGGACCGGTGGGACCTGTCGGACCTGTGGGACCTGTGGGAACTGTGTGGCCCGTGAGACCTGTGGGACCTGTGAGACCTGTGGGACCTATGGGACTTGTGGGACCTGTGGGACCTGCGGGACCCGCTGGGTCTGTGAGACCTGTGGGACCCGGGGAACGTGTACGGCATGTGGGATCTGTGGAATCAGTGGGCCCCATGGGACTTGCGGGGGCTGCGAGACTTCTTGGAACTGTGGGACCTGTGGGGCATGCCGGTCCTGTGAGACCTGTGGGACCTGCAGGATCAGGAGGAGGAGACGGAAGACGAAGGCAGCCCCCCACGGACCCCAGTCGTCGGGCCGCCCCAGCGCCCTCCCAGGGCGGCGGGGCTGGCCGCGACGACCACCGCAGCCAGCGCGCCGATGGTGCGCCTCGGCGGGGGAGGGGCAGACGCAGGGCAAAGAGGAAGCTCAGAAGCCTGCAGACGGCCTCGACCGAGAGGGAGCTGGCTCGGGGGGGAGCGTGCCAGCGGCGGGATGGGATGCTGCTGCGTGCTGCTTTGCGCATGGATCCAAGTGGATCCCGTTTCATGTGCGTGCGCGCGAGTCACGTGGATCACGTCTTATGTGTATGTGAATGCGTTGACGTGGAAACTGATTGGCAAATAAAGATGGCTATATACGTGTGTGTATAAATATGTATACATACACATGTATACACATATGTAGAGATGTGTTGATGCAGATGTGTGAATGGATCCGTTGTATGCGTGTTTGCGTGTATGTATGTGATGTGTGTGTGCAAACTATGCATACATGGTTGTATGAATGTATGTACGTAGGTATGTGTGCATGTATGAGTATGCACATGTATGTATATGTATGTGTGTATGTGTATGTGGTTGTAGATGTAGTTGGTCGTGTATAGGTATATGTGTGCATATATGTATATGAATAGGTATGTGTATATGTATGCGTGCATGCAAATGGATGTGTGTACGCTTATGCATGTATAGTTGCATACATATGCGTATGCCGACCGATGTGTGTACATATATATATATATATATATATATATATAAAAATTCGCCGGCCCAACGGGCCAGAGGCGTGCTAAGATCTCCGGTAACTTGTTAACAATATTTCTAGTTCGCGCGCGCGGAGCGGCCCCTGGGGGCCTCCGGACGAAAAGTAACCCGGCAAGGTCCCGAGAGAAGCCCGGGAGAAGCCACCAGACCACTCCAGGGGAGGGTATTTTTCGACACCCCTCACGAGGATCGTGGCCTCCGAGGGGGGAGCCGCAATCGACTACCCCCAAGAGCCCCCCAAGAGGCCCTGGGGGCCTCCAAAACGCCGCCAAGGAGCCCCAAGAGACTCCCAAGAGGTCCCCAAGAGGCCCCCAAGAGGCCCTAAAGAGGGCTCCAGGGCCGGCGGCATGAGCGAAGCGATTAAATACGTATATGCAAGTGGACATGTATATGTCTGTGTATATATCTATATATATAACTATGTGTATGCATGTATGTATGGATCGATGGATGCATGCATGCATGTATGTATGTATGCATGTATGTACATGTATGTATCCACCACCGTGCCTTCTGGCACGGAAAGGGCGTGTCCTGAGGTCCCTTCTTGTCGTCCTCAGCCCTTTGTTTTGAGGCCTATTAAGGGACCCGGACCCACGCGGGTCAAAACTCCTGAGGTCAGGGTCAAACCTTCTCTGGTTCTGGAGGGCCAAGAGGGCCGCAAGAGGCCTTTAAGACGGCCCGAGAGGGCCCCGAGTCGCCGAACGATCGGTCAAAAGCGCCCTGTGGTGGCATCCAGACGGCCCAAGAGGCTTCCAAGACGCGCTAAGAGGCCTCCAAGAGGCCTCCCAAGAGAGCCCCAGGAGGCAAACATCTATTTCCCGGTGGTTTTTGAAGGAGTGTGGCGTTCTCGCCTTGTCGTCTTCACGACGCTCCAAAGCGACCCAAGGGGTACCCAAGATGGCCCCAAGACGGCCCAAGAAGCCTCCAATAAGGCCCCAAAACTGCCAAGAGAGCCCCAAGACGGCCAAAGAAGCCTTCCAGACGGCCCGAGATGCCCCCAAGACGGCTCAACGAGAGGGCCCAGACGGGGGACCCGGACGGACATTTCAAGCCCTCGGCCCGAGAGGCCCCCGCCAGGCCAGGAGATCCCCAAGGCCCCCAGAGGCCCCCAAGTGGCCTTCAGGAAGCCCCAAGAGGCTCCCAAGAGGCACCCAAGAGACCCCAAGAGACATCAAAACTACCCCCATGAGGCCCCCGAGATCGCTCCGAAGTGACCCCAAGAAACATCCTTGAGGACTCCGACTCACAATCCAGGCACGGTGGCGGAATGGGCCGAATACGCATATAGACATCTACTAGGTGCATGCATGTATGTGCATATATAGCATAGCTGTCTGCACAACTATACATGCAACATTGTGCGCATATCTATATACATATACATATATGTATGTAAATGTACGGGTGCATGGGCGTGTATATATTCGCGTTCATAGAATTGAACATGCTCACAAAATACATGTGTATGCAGACATGCATGTGTATGCATAAATGCATGCATCTCTATATAATTATATGCAACTATGCAGATGCACGTATACATATCCACGCGTACGCATACAGTTAAACATAGGATACGTAAATATGTAAATATGCGTACAAAGCATACAACGATATGTACGAATATGAGTATATGCATACACGCTATATACAACACAGATGTGGATCATTCCTATATCCGTATATGTATACACCGATATGACGATTGCATGTATACATAAATACAGCTGGACCTATGTATAGTATGGCACACTGACTGCCGAAACAAGTAAATGTATCAAATACCGGGGACACGAAGGTAATTGGATCCACGCAGCATTGGATCTGCAGCCTTGGATTTCCAGCCTGCGAGGGAAGTGGGGCCCCCTATCAGGAACGAGACCACGCGCAAAGAGGTCTCGCAATCGGCACCTGTGGTTCATTCTCAAAAGGGTGATGTTTCGGACTGCGTGAAGAATATATCCGCCGACCGTGTCGGCGTGTGTGAAACGGGTTTCCCTTTGAGTCGTTGTCGTCCGCCGCCGCTCCCCCCCCTTCCCATGGGCCATCCTCCACCTCCTCCTCAAGCGATCCAGCTAGACGAAAAACAAACAACGTCGAAATTGATTCAACGGGAAGCCTCTTCCATTTGATCCTTTCCCTGCCGGGGTGGCGGGGTGAGACCCCGGGAGGGGTCGCTGGTGGGGTCCCAGGGGGGTCTCGGGAGGGGTCCCAGGGGAGGTCTGGGTTTCGGGACCTCCACCCCTGGAGGTCCCCCCTGTGGACCAGGGGGACAAAGGGGTGGTTCACCTGTGGACAGGGGGAACTCGGTACCCTTCCCCCGCCTCCCGGCATGTGGAGAGGGGGCCATCGCCACCCCCCCCTCCTCCCGGACCCCCCCACCGGAGGCGCCCTCCTCACTCTCATCTGCTGTGGCGGGGTGCTGAGTATCTACACCCACATGCCTCCAAGAGGCCTCAGATCCGCTCCGAGGCGGCTACAAGTGACCACGGAGCTTCCCAAGAAGTCCCCCAAGAGGCTCCCCAACAGAGCACAAGGGGCCCCAAGGGGGCCCCAAGAAGGGTTCCAGACCGTCAGCGTCGTCGTCGTCGTCGCCGCCGCCACCGCGACCGTCGTCGTCGTCCCCCTTCAGGGCCGGCGGCGCGGCTGGCCTTATCAATAGTGGATGAGGACGAGAGGACGACGACGACGATAATGAGGAGTTCATAGGCTGCGGAGCGCACGAGGTCTCGCGTCATGTTGCTCCCATCGCAATCAAGGACCAAATCCCGAAAAAAAAATCGATCACCCAGAAAAAATCGAAACAGTGTCGAGCGAGCATCGCCTCACACGTGAAAACCCTCAAGTTTCGGTACGTTCTTGGTGCTCGACAGTATTTCTGGTGATCGAGGCCAGAGTAGGTTGGAACTTCATAAGTCTCGTGAGGCCCCAGAGAATAATGTTTCGGTCTGCGTAAAACATGCAGAATGTAAAACAACAAACAAACAACATAAAAGTGGAGTGGCATGCGAGCGCACTGCCAACATCGCGATGGGTTCCACGCTGCAGCCGATGAGCCTTGTCTACGCAGGCAGCAGACCGCGAGCCCCTCGACAAGCTTCCCCTGAATCCGCCGACCCTGTCGGCGTGGAAGACGCTCTTCCATTGGTCGTCGTCGTCGTCGTGTAGTCTTAAGTCGTCTCCTCGTCGTCTCCGTCGTCGTCTCCGTCTCCGTCGTCACCTCGTCGTCTCCGTCAGTCGTCGTCTCCGTCGTCCCCCGTCTCCTTTCTCTGGCCCTCGTCTGCGTCTCCGTCGTCTCTTCGAAGTCTCCATCAATCGTCGTCTCCGTCGTGCCCCATCTCCTTTCCCTGGGCCCTCCTCCTGAAGCACGCCAGCCAAACCGACATTGAGCAACGTCGTAGCTGAGTCGAACAGAAGCTCCTCCCATTTGATCCCCTCCCCGCCGGAGGGGGGGGGGTCCCACGGGGGTTCCCATTGCGGAGTCGCCCCCCAGACACGCATTCCCCCCGGGCGGGCGGTTCTGGGACCCAGAAAAACATAAAAACGCGGCTAGAGTGCCCCAGGAGGCCCCTTGAGGAACCCGAATCGCCGAATTACCGGTCCAAGACGCCAAAGTAGCCTCCAGACGGCTCAAGAGGTTTTCAAAAAGCCCCAGGCGGCCTCCAAGAGCACTCCCAAGAGAGCCCCCAAAGCAAAACTCCTAGATTTTACTTCAGTTGTTGAAAGAGTTGGGCGTTCTCGCCTTGTCGGCTTCCGGACGCTTCGAGACAGCCCAAGAGGCCCTCAAGATCGCCAAAGAGGCCTCCAAGAGGGCCCCAAAACGACCCAAGAGGGGCCCAAGACCGCCCAAGAGACTAAGAGTCTCCCAACAAGAGGCCCCAAAATTACCCCCAAGAAACCCCAAGAGCGCTCGTCGTGATCGTCGTCGTCGTCGTCGTTCGATCGTCGTCGTCGTCGTCGTTCAGGGTCGGCGGCGCCAGCCGTAAGGCTCCTCCGAACCCCACATACTCAATCAAAATCTTATGTGCTCGCTTCTCCTCCTCCTCCTCCTCCTCCTCCTCCTCCTCCTCCTCCTCCTCTTCCTCTTCCTCCTCCTCCTCGTCCTCCTCCTCCTCGTCCTCCACCTCCTCCTCCTCCTCCTCCTCCTCATCATCATCATCATCATCATCATCATCATCATCATCATCATCATCATCATCATCATCATCATCATCATCATCATCATCATCATCATCATCATCATCATCATCATCATCATCATCATCATCATCATCATCATCATCATCATCATCATCATCATAATCATCATCATCATCATCATCATCATCATCATCATCATCA